CAAAAATGCTTACTCTCCAAAATATACAAACAGCTCATACAACTCAACAACAAAAAAAAACAAACAACCCAATTGAAAAATCAAAAGAAGATCTTAATAGACATTTCTCCAAAGAAGACATGCAGATGGCCAGTAGGCACATGAAAAGATGCTCAACATCACTGATTACTAGAGAAATGTAAAACAAAACTAAAATGAGGTACCACCTCACACCAGTCAGAACTGCCATCATTAAAAGGTCTACAAATAACAGGGACTTCCCTGATGGCACAGTGGTTAAGAATCCGCCTGCCAATGCAGGGGACACGGGTTCAAGCCCTGGTCCGGGAAGATCCCACATGCCGTGGAGCAACTAAGCCCGTGCACCAACTACTGAGCCTGCGCTCTAGAGGCTGCATGCCACAACTACTGAAGCCCATGTGCCTAGAGCTCCACAACAAGAGAAGCCTGCGCACTGCAATGAAGAGAAGCCCCTGCTCGCCGCAACTACAGAAAGCCTGCGTGCAGTAATGAAGACTCAACACAGCCATTTATTTATTCATTTATCTTTTTTTTTTTTTTTTTTTTTTTTGCGTTACACGGGCCTCTCACTGTTCTGGCCTCTCCCGTTGCAGAGCACAGCCTCCGGACATGCAGGCTCAGCGGCCATGGCTCACAGGCCCAGCCGCTCCGCCACATTTGAGATCTTCCCAGACCGGGGCACGAACCCGTGTCCCCTGCATCGGCAGGCGGACTCTCAACCACTGCACCACCAGGGAAACCCTTTTTTTTTTTTCTAAAGTCTACAAATAACAAATGCTGGAGTGGGTGTGGAGAAAAGGGCACCCTCCTACAATGTTGGTGGGAATGCAAGTTGGTGCAGCCACTATACTGGAAAATAGTATGGAAGTTCCTCAGAAAAGTAAAAATACAGTTACCATATGATCCAGCAATCCCACTCCTGGGCATATACCCAGACAAAACTATAATTCAAAAAAACAGGGGTTTCCCTGGTGGCACAGTGGTTAAGAATCCGCCTGCCAATACAAGGGACACAGGTTTGAGCCCTGCTCCGGGACGATCCCACATGCCGTGGAGCAACTAAGCCCATGAGCCACAACTACTGCGCCTGCACTCTACAGCCTGCGACCCACAACCACTGAGCCCACGTGCCACAACTACCGAAGCCCACGCGCCTAGAGCCCGTGCTCTGCAGCAAGAGAAGCCACCACAATGAGAAGCCCACACACCGCAACAAAGGGTAGCCCCCACTCGTCGCAACTAGAGAAAGCCCACACGCAGCAACAAAGACCCAACACAGCCAAAAATAAATAAATAAAAAGATACAGGTACCCCTATGTTCATAGCAGCACTATTCACAATAGCCAAAACATGGAAACAACCTAAAGGTCCGTCGACAGATGAATGGATAAAAAAAAGATGTGGTACATATATATAATGAAATACGACCCAGCCATAAAACAGAACGAAATAATGGCATTTGCAGCAACATGGATACAACCTGAGATTATCATACTAAGTAAAATCAGACAGAGAAAGACAAATACCACGTGATATCACTTATATGTGGAATCTAAAATATGGCACAAATGAGCCTATCTACAAAACAGAAACAGACTCACAGACATAGAGAACAGACTTGTGGTTACCAAGGAGGATGGAGGGAGGCAGAGGGATGGACTAGGAGTTTGGGGTTAGTAGATGCAAACTATTACATTTAGAACAGACGAACAACAAGGTCCTACTGTATAACACAGGGAACTATATCCAGTCTCCTGGGATAAACCATAATGGAAAAGAATATTAAAAAAAAAAAAGAATGTATATATGTATACAAATGAGCCACCTTGCTGTACAGCAGAAATTAACACAGCATTGTAAATCAACTATACTTAAAAAAAAAAGAGCAGCAAGCATAAACAGAAAATAAAACAAAATAAAATTTAAAGCTATTTCAACATCTGTGAAAGTACAATCCAGCAACTTTTTTAAACAGCAGCTAGAATACAATCAATTTAGTAACTTACAACCAGCTCTTAAAAAGAAATGAAATAGAAACTATAAGGATGCACTGCACAAAGGGTAAACAATGTTCAAGAAAACTCTGATACATATAATGTATGGGTTGCAACGTAAAACAAAATGTACCCAGCTTTTGGAAAAAGTAAAATGTGTAACTATCGGTTCAGAAAGTTTGAGAAACACTGCTCTAAAGCAGTGAATCTTTTTTTTAAATAAATTTATTAATTTTATTTTATTTATTTTTGGCTACACTGGGTCTGCATTGTTGCACGTGGGTTTTTTCTAGTTGCGGCGAGTGGGGGCTACTCTTCGTTGCAGTGCGCAGGCCTCTCATTGCGGTGGCACCTCTTGTTGCAGAGCACAGGCTCTAGAGCCCAGGCTCAGTAGCTGTGGCACACGGGCTTAGCTGCTCCGTGGCATGTGGGATCTTCCCAGACCAGGGCTCTAAACCCATGTCCCCTGCACTGGCAGGCGAATTCTTAACCACTGTGCCACCAGGGAAGCCCTAAAGCAATGAGTCTTAACTGTAGCTTTGTGAAACACCAGTTGCCAATCTGTCTAAAAATAATGATTTTGTTTTCTTTTTCTTTTTTTTTTTTTTTTAGGGGGGGGGGCGGTCTGCACTGCGCAGAATGCAGAATCTAAGTTCCCTGACCAGGGATCGAACCTGTGCCCCCTGCAGTGGAAGTGTGGAGTCTTAACCACCGGACCGCCAGGGAAGTCCCCAAAAATTATGATTTCTGACTCATTAATTTACACACTATAATTAAATGTTTTTCAAGAAGTAAAACATTGATTCACACCAAAAAATGTGCATAGGATATTTCTGAAAGGTAAAGAACATCATATGATCCAGTGGTAAGGTCTCACAGGTTAAAGAGGTTTATAATCTACACTCTAGGACACTGGATTCAAGGCAATGTTATTTCCAACCTAATTATGATTATCTTTGAATAATTTATTTTTCTCGACCTAATAAAAATCAGTTATTAAGAAACAAAACTGTTCTAGGACTTGCCTGGTGGTGCGGTGGTTAACAATCTGCCTGTCAATGCAGGGAACATGGGTTCAAGCCCTGGTCAAGGAAGATCCCACATAATATATAAATCTTGCATATAACAAATACACTGCTGTAAGTGCTTCATTTTCACCATGCTTTTCAAAAGAACTCACATTAAAAAAAAAAAGAATTCACATTAAAACATTTTTGACAGGAGATAGATTTTTTTGGTCTCCCACAGTGGGAGCTAATTAGAGATTTTTAAATCTAGTCTACATAATACTGCAAACTATAGCAGTAATAACAATGTTATTCTCTAAAATACATTATGTGGTACAATTCTGTAATAAAATTTTCTTAAAAGTTAAGAAAATCTGTTTCCAGATCTTTCACTTGGCTTATGCATTTAACTATACTGAGACTTCCAGATTTTTTCAGATTAAATTTTTAGTGTCTTTAAAAGCAAAGAAAGCTATATAGCATACACAATTCACACTGCAAATTCTTAATGCTAAGAGACAAAATATCAACATTACTTCTAAAAACACAGCAACTAATTTTTGACAACTGAAATATACACAGTCACTAACAAATTACCATTCTCTGGTCTTCAAAGCACTTATCCTTACTTGAAATTATCAGTTTGTCTCTGTTCTTACAAATATATATATAAATATAAGCTCCTATCTTGCTGACAAAATATTCCCAGCACATAGCATAAAACACAGCCCAGCACAGCCTTCAAACATTAACTAAGTGAATATTAAATACTGTCAAGAATAGGACAGCCTTCCTCAGAACAGAATGTCCTCATCACTGGGGAAGACTATTCATCATTAAGAATAAGAGTCTTAATTATTAGAGAAATGCAAATCAAAATTACAATGAGGTAACCTCACATCAGTCAGAATCACCAACATTAAAAAATCTACAAAGAATAAATGCTGAAGAGGGTGTGGAGAAAAGGGAACCCTCCTACACCGTTGGTGGGAATGTAAATTGGTATAGCCACTATGGAGAACAGTATGGAGGTTCCTTAAAAAAAAACTAAAAATAGAACTACCATGTGACCCAGCAATCCCACTATGGGCATACACACAGAAAAAACCATAATTCAAAAAGATACATGCACCCCGATGTTCCCTGCAGCACTATTTACAACTGCCAGGACATGGAAGCAAGCTAAATGTCCACTGACAGAAGAATGGATAAAGAAGATATGATACATATATGCAATGGAATATTACTCAGCCATAAAAAGGAACGAAATGTCATTTGCAGTGACGTGGATGGACCTAGAGACTGTCATACAGAGTGAAGTCACAAAGAGAAAGACAAATATCGTATAGTATCACTTATATGTGGAATCTACAAAAATGGTATACAGATGAACTTATTAGCAAAGCAGAAATAGAGTCACAGATGTAGAAAACAAACTTATCGTTACCAAGGGGGAAGGGAGGGTGGGATGAATTGGGAGAATGGTAATGACATATATATGCTACTATATACAAAACAGATAACTAATGAGAACCTACTGTATAGCACAGGGAACTATACTCAGTGCTCTTGTGGTGACCTAAATGGGAAGGAAATCTAAAAAAGAGTGGATATACATATATGTATAACTGACTCACTCTGCTGTACAGCACCCTAACACAACATTGTAAAGCACCTACTTTCCAATAAAAAAAAAAAGGAATAAGAGTTTGAATAAGATCATAAATCGTTAAATCCACAAATCCATATCTAAAAACATGATCTTAAGATTTTAAAAAAGACTACAGCACCCAAGCAGCAAGTACTCACTAAAATAGTTATTTAAAAATTTTTCTTATTGTTTGTCTTAATTTCTTAAGATTCTATAATATAGATTACTACTATAATAAGAAAAAACTATAACAATTATTTTAACAAAGAAAAACAGATCAGCATTCAACTAAAAAATAAAATGTTGACTTTTCTTTTTAGTAAGTACCTTTTCTTGAAAGACGACAGCAGTTTCTAGCCCTGGCATGATGTCCAGTAGGAGTCTGCAAGCAGCAGTGTTTAAAGGGGGCTCTCGGCTTGTCATCACATATGCATTCACCAGCTGTAAAGAAAAGGAGTACATCTCATCTGAAATTCAACCCAATCAAATTAATAACGACTAATAAATCCTTAATACATTCCCATAGCTTGCCTAAAGGGTATTAAAGAAGACTATACCTAACATTAATTAAACCTGTAATTATTAGAAATAGTTATGATCCTGCTGAGCCATGATAATACCATATAATTTCTTCTGCCACTTTAAAGTCAAATCCCCCTAAAACAACTCAGCAACCATAGAAATTCAAGCTCAAGGGATATCACAAAGAAAACACTCCCATCCTCATATATACTTTTTCAGAAGGATAAAACAGGGCAAGATAAGCCTCCCCTCACCCCTCCCTGATTGACAACAGTTAATGAAAAAATTTGAGTTTTATATTTTATATATATAAATGTATCAATAAAACTTTCCTTTTGGCACTCATCAAATAAATACTGGATCTCTAAGTGGCACTGTGTTCTATTGCTGGGTATACAACAGTGAATAAGACACAGTCCCACCATCAAAGGGTTCATAATACAAAAGAGGTGACAGTTGGAAAAACAAATATCATAAGTACAGGATGCTACAGAAACCTGTAGGAAGCCATACAACTCTGCAAGGGAATCAGAGAAGGCTTTAGAGAGGAAGGGATTCCAAGCGAGAACATGAAGGACAAGCAGGAATACCTAAGGAGGAGTGGGAAAGAGAGGAGGGCCAAAGGTCAGGAACAGAAAATGAGAGAACAGAGGCCATGAGATTGGGTTTATAAACCAAAATAAAAAATTTAAAATTTATCTTGAGAGCAATGGGAAAGCACTAATGGATTTTAAGCAAGAGAATGCCATGATCATTTTTTGCATTTGATAAAGATTTTCGGGATATAAGTAAAGAATGGGTTGGGACAAGATAAGAAGAGAAACCAATTAAGAGGCTATTGCAGTATCGAGAGATGGTGGTAGCTAACCTAAGGTCTGACAACAAGGGCAGAAAGAAGCGGAGGGATTTGTGAAGGTTAAGGGGGAGGGCACAATAAGACCTGTAAGTTCACTGAATAAGAAAGCTTAGAGGAATAAAGGATAACTTCCAGCTGGCTAGGAAAGGACACCTTTACTGAGCTAGAGCATAAGAGAAACAGATTGTGGGGCAAACAATGAGACATGCAGAATTCAAGGTGCCTGGGGGAAATATCCATGTGGGAACGTCTAGAAGGCAGCTGCAAGTGATCTGAAGCAGAGAAGAGACACCAGTGATAAATAAAATTGGGAATTAATGTAATACAGATAAAAATAATAGCTAATAATTACTGAGCCCTCATGTGCCACGTTCTGAACTAAGTACTTTTCATGTTTAATTTCATTCAAGGATTACAAAAACATTTTAAGGTAAGAACTATCATCCCTATTTCATAGATTAGGGAAATAAAGCTTTGAGAAAATAAAGCTTGGAGAGGCTTAAGTTGCCTAAAGATCAAAATGTCAATGAAGAGTGGAGCTGCACTTAAACCCAAAACATGGACCCCAAAGCCCATGCTCTCAAGCATCATGCTATTCCACCTCCAAAATCAAACCTAACAGCCACAATTTATTAAATAATTACTATGTTCAGGAGCTGTGAGTAATACATACTTTTTTTTTTTTTTTTTACCCTCATTTACTCCTCAACAGACCAGAGTTAAATAAGGCACTTTCTCTCCCTCCACATGCCCAATGCACACACCCATAGTGTCAGTGCAGAGTCATACGGTACATATCACTCTTACTTTTCTATTCAAGAACGCAAGAGAACTCCTGTATTCCCAAACTCAAAATCATCTCACCCCAGAATGAGCACAGATGCCTTGGGAACCCTCACCAATATTCAACTGAACAAAGTACACACCAAAGAGAAAACACCTTGGCCACAACCAGGACTTTGGTAATAAAGAAGTCGATGATTAGTCTATTTCATTGAACCAATACCAAATTTAAAAAGCTACCCACTCTATTCCCAACTTTGTCAAGGCCTCAGGAAAAAACAGACTATTTACAAAAAAAAACAATAAAGGTACAGCATCTGCTGATGATAATCTCTAGAGAAAAGTAAGAAGCAAACCTACTGCATTCATGAAATCATCATTCTTGAAGAGTATTCTCAGCAAGTGGCCCAGCATACACTCTGGATCAGCTCGACCTACCAAAAGAAGAGGGGAGGAACAAACAAAGGAATGAGTAAGTCATCCCAGTCAAGCAACTCAAACCTCTGGAAAGGCACCTGGGTTGTTTTAAGTACTATTAAAAGGCCAGCAAAAATTAACAGAAACAAAGAAAAGATTCTTTTGATGAATCAGATTTCATAAGGAGCATTCTTTAAAATTAAAAATGACAATAAAAAATTTGAGACACTGCTCTCTAACATTCCCATCTCCCAGCATATTGCCTACACATCAATGCTGAATTAAATAAATGAGCACTAGACCCAGACCAGCATCACTAAGAGTATACAAGGGTCTACAAAAGAATCATAAAGGAGCCTAAAAGAATGAAAACCCATGACTTCCCAGACAAAGAAAGGAAGGAAGCACAACTTCTTTTGATGAGTGGCCTGGAGAAGATAGGCTCCAAGTCCAATCTCTCAACTATAATGCCAACAGCAGTACAAATGTGTCCTCAAACCTGTAATGAACACTCCAGGTTTGGGGGACAGGGGGAATCCCGCCAAGCAATCACCAATTCTAAAGATAAAATAAACGTGGTCATCTTAACTTCTGAGCTCCTGGGGAAAGAAAGGAGGCCAGGAACCTAGGATTTACTCAACACACAGCCTAAATGTAAAAGAATTACTTAATGGTTGGGAAAATTACTGGTTCGCTTTTAAAAGAGATATCATCAATTTAATTTTCCTTTCAGAGTGGCAAATTTAGTCAAAGGATACAATTTAGGATGAAGAAAAGATATAAGCTGCTGATATAAAGTTTTTACCAAGCTGTAATTAATATCCCAAAGTAATTCACAAAAACAGAAGTTAGAGAATGGTACTATAAAAACAAACGTGGACCTCAGATTACTTAACTTTCTCTCTTTATAAAAGATGAAACTGTGACCCTTATTTTTATTAATAGAAATTATGCCTAATGACAAATATGACTTAACATAAGAGTTAGGAAGGAAAAAAACTGTCTTTAAATTTCTACTGAAAAAAAAGGCATTCTTCTCTCCCTTCTTCCTCGTTACCATTTCATCCTTCCCAAGGCAATGTCACTAAGCATGATCACCTCTTGAATTCTTTTCACAATCCCATGAATTAACTTAGTTTCTTTTCACTTTCCTACTATTTCATGCTCTGATTGCCTTACTGCAGATGTTAGCCCAATAGCCGTTCTCAAAGTCACAAGTGGGGATGTCTACGACAAGAGCAGCAGGTAACATCACATAAACAACTGGACACTCAATTTGAAATGCTTAGCTTACTTACATTTGGGAATAAAAGTCTAAGAAACAGAAATAAACCCTGGAACATTTGGGTGGATATACAATGTTCTTATTTTTGTAAGTCCCATTCATTCTCACTATCTCTCCACATACAAAATCTCAGACTCTTCTCTCCAAAAGGAACTCCTGGTTTTATAAAGAGAAAATTTATATGCAGTGTGGGCCCACATGACATAAGCTTTGCCCACTGGTAAGCTACCTTAGAGAGAACATAAAATAGCAGTCTCAAGTCCCATACAGTTCTGTATTATAGCAAATTCCATGCCAAAACAGGCTGGTTTGACATGGCTCTAATTAAATTGGCCCAAAAGAAAACCACATTAACATGAGATGGCATATTTTAGCTGTTGGAACACTAAAGTAGACATCAAGAAATCCATTCATTCATTATTCAAGGTTCCAAGCATCAATTTCATGACTAAAAGCACGGCACTGAATGCATTCTCAACCACATCTCCCCGTTAATAAAAGGATAATTATTGTTGTTAGAAAAATGAAGGCACAGAGGATAACATCTTTTGGTTTAAAAGTCAGAAAGACAGAACATTTTTCTCTTTTTAAATCTTTGTAATCATATCAACTGAGTCAATAAGGTATATCTATATAATTTAGTTCCTTTAAGTTAGCTTCTAGTAATAGTAATCTTCCATTTAATAGGTAAATATTAAAAGTATTTCCATTTTGCCAGGAATTTATTTTTCCTCTCTGCCCCCACCTTGAGCAGTATTTTAACAAATAAATTCTATTTCAATTGAAAAATATTCCTTATATTAAGCAGTTTTCTTTTTTTTTTGTGGTACACGGGCCTCTCACTGTTGTGGCCTCTCCCGTTGCGGAACACAGGCTACGGACGCGCAGGCTCAGCGGCCATGGCTCACAGGCCCAGTCGCTCCACGGCATGTGGGATCTTCCCGGACCGGGGCACGAACCCGTGTCCCCTGCATCGGCAGGTGGACTCTCAATCACTGTGCCACCAGGGAAGCCCTAAGCAGTTTAGAGCCAGGCTTAAGAGAACACAGTCTCACCAGGATGTCGATCATCAAATGGGTCTGGATCCCCCTTACGATATTCTTCAGTTTCTTTTTCAATCAATTCAGACATCCTAGCACAAAGAGAAGACAGGGTCAATTCTAGACAAGCATACAAAAAAAAATGTATCACTACCTACAATAGTCAAACAATCAAGGTACAAAATAAAAGCAAAAAATTACAAAAAGGGTATTTTCCTAATAAACATAAAGACCTAAACAACTATCTCATAAAACAGTTTCCACTCCCAAATCCATTCTTCTCTCCAACTCTCCTGTCTCAAATAATAGCACTATCCCCTCAGAAGCCAAAAACAAGGAGTCATCATTAAAACTGTCCTTTTCTCCCCATCCCCCACAGCAATAATTCCTATAAGCTCTACCTACAAAATATCTCCTGACTTCAATCATTTCCTTAAATTTTGACCACTCCTACCCTTGTCCAGACCACCTTTATCAACTTCTGGACTACCTGCAATAGACTTTTCCCTGGTCTCCTTGTTTCTTGCTTCCATGCTTGACCTGACACAATACACCTCCAACTTTCAATGACTTACCCTCAACTTAAATTAAACCCAAGCACTGCAAGGTTTACAGTAACCTGGCTTTTGTCTGCATCTATGACCACTTCTTGTACTCCTCCACCCCTCCTTTATTAAGCTACGGTCACATGGCCTTCCCTGCTCTTCAGAGTCCAAACTCGTAACTGCTCCAGGACCTTTCTAGGTGCTGTTACCTCAGCCTGTAACATTCTTCCACCCACCCAGGTTCCCACCCCTGCCCTAAGCAACCACTCACCTACTTTTTCTCACTAAAGATTAGTTTTGCCTGTTCTACAATTTCATATAAATGAAATCACATATACTCTTTTTTTTTTAATTTTATTTTATTTATTTATTTACTTTTGGCTGCGTTGGGTCTTCGTTGCTGCGTGCGGGCTTTCTCTAGTTGCAGCGAGCGGGGGCTACTCTTCGTTGTGGTGCGTGGGCTTCTCTTGCTGCGGAGCACGGGCTCTAGGCATGCAGGCTTCAGTAGTTGTGGCTCGTGGGCTCTAGAGCGCAGGCTCAGTAGTTGTGGCGCACGGGCTTAGTTGCTCCACGGCATGTGGGATCTTCCCGGAACAGGGATGGAACCCGTGTCCCCTGCATTGGCAAGCGGATTCTTAACCACTGCACGACCAGGGAAGCTCCACATATACTCTTTTTATGTTTGACTTCTTTCACTCAGCACGTTGAGTCATCCATGTTGTTGCATGTTATCAACTGTTCTTTTTTATTCACACTTCTTTTTTTGAAATAAGAAAAATCACTTTCTGAGTACCCTAAGGACTGACATTTTAACCTATTATAATGACAATCAAATAAAAGGCTTTCATGCTCTCCAGTATCTAGGATGCTCTATCCTAACTCAAATTTTCCTGCATGCTTTATTTCCACAAAACCATACTTCTAGTCTTAAGGGTTAAGCTCCCTGCAAAAATTCTTGCCCACTCTGGTATATTTTTCCCCATCAAGCCTCAAAAGTATTTCTACCTTTTCTACCTTTCCCCCTAAACTCTGAAAACTCTCTTTGCCACAAAGGATGATCACATAAAATGTATTTTAAATTACATATTATAAGATCTACTAGTATCTTCAGTGGAAACTAAGCAATATAGCACAGCAGAAGTTAAAAACATGGATTCTGGAGCCAGATGGCCAGTGTTCAAATCATATCTCTTCCCCTGTTTGTGACTTCGGTCAAGTTATTTAACCTCTCTGCGCCTAATCTGTAAAATGAGGATAACAGTCCCTATCTTACAGAGTTTCCCTGAAGTAAAAGTTAATATATGTAGTCTGCTTAAAACAGAACTTAAAAAAAAAATAAATAAATAAAAAAAAAAAAAAAAAAAAAAAATAATAATAATAAAAAAAAATAAATAAATAAATAAAATAAAATAAAAATAAAAAAAAACAAAAAAAAACAGAACTTAAGTCAGAGCTATTTAGGTGGTGTTCCTATGGAAACTGGGAATCAATAACAAATAGAAAACGAATTAATCTAAGGTAGATATTGATGCAATGGGGCAGGAGGGAGCCTTCTGGAGGTAGTACTCAAGTTCTATAATTTGATCTAGGTGATGATTTTGTAAGTAAACAATCCATCCCTCAGTATCCACAGAGAATTGGTTCCAGGACCTCCCAGGGATACTAAAATCCTCTAATGCTCAAGTCCTTTGTATAAAATGGCATAGTACAGTTGGCCCTCCACATCCACAGAGTCAAGCAACCGTGGGTGGACTATAAATTATATCTCAATAATATAAAAAAAAAAAACACAAAACCTGGGTTAAGCTCATACAGCTTGGCGCAATGCCAGTCCTTTTTCACAGAATTAAGTCGAAGTCTTGATTATAATAAATAAAACAACATAAAAAATAAAAAGTCAATCAAGTTATAGAGTTGTACATTTTTCTTAGGAAAATAGCCAAAAGATCATTTTAAAAAATAGTCAGTAAAGGAGCATGTAGGCCTGAAATTCATTTGCTTTTCATGCAATACACCCAAACTGAAGCCAGTTTGCAGGGTGAGAGGGATGACAGATGTGAAGATACTTTAGGAAATAGCCAGTGAACTAACAGACCCACAATTTGAAGGATGGTAAGAGTTTTGCCCCTATCTAAAATGAACTATACTCTGAATTCATCCTACTGTCTCTTAAAGTCCCAGTGTAACCTTAAAGATCTTTTTAAGATCTTGCTCCATATAACTTTATCTTCCATTCCTACCTTATATTCACCCTCCACTCTGGCGGGGCCCATTTCCTCACTGCCACAAAAACATGCCCCAGTTCATTCTCCCCTAGATACATTTTTCAGTCACATTTGAACTTTTCCTAGAAAACCTTGTCTCTGCTTTCAATCAAGGTATATTCTACCAACTTTCAAGTCCCTGTTCCAAGGAACCTTTACCTCATCCTACACTGGAAAGCCCACTGGAATTGGAGTTAAAACCCAGTATTTTAACCTTAGCTTTCTACTGCCTGGCTATAGTCTTTTGGGTTTTTTTGTTTTGTTTTTTTGTTTGTTTTGGCCACGCTGGGTCTTTGTTGCTGCACGCAGGCTTTCTCTAGCTGCGGCAAGCAGGGGGGTACTCTTTGTTGTGGTGCACGGGCTTCTCGTTGCAGTGGCTTCTCTCTTGTTGTGGAGCACGGGCTCTAGGTACACGGGCTTCAGTAGTTGCAGCACACGGGCCCTAGAGCGCAGGCTCAGTAGTTGTGGTGCATGGGTTTAGTTGCTCCGCAGCATGTGGGATCTTCCCAGACCTGGGATCAAACCCGTGGTCCCTGCATTGCAGGCGGATTCTTAACTACTGCACCACCAGGGAAGTCCTATAGTCTTTTGCAAGCAGCTCAGAGGATGGCGGCTATCTTTTAACAATGTAGCTCTCACACTTTTAGTGACAAATGAAGAAGCTGAGGTTCAGAGAAGTGTCTCCTACAGTTCTGACACACAAAAGGTCCTCAAACATTTGTTGAATGAATAGAAGAAATGGACTCATTCAAATTCTTTCCATTCTCCTAACCCCTAGAATATTTACAAACCACACTGCCAATCTAGCACTTCATTATATGCTATTTTGTACTACTATGCATTTTTTGGAGCCATTAGTTGCCTCCCAGATGGTTATCTCCTTGAAGATAGAGTCCCTCCATTTAGGCTTTGCACTGCTGAATACCATAGCATAATGACAAAGTTCAGGGTCAAATATGATAATTAATATGAAATAATCCTGAAAATAAAGTTTTTTGGTTTTGGGGTTTTTTTTGGCCTCACCACGCAGCTTGCAGGATCTTAGTTCCCTGCCCAGGGATTGAACACGGGCCCCGGGAGTGGAAGCACCGAGTCCTAACCACTGGACCGCCAGGGAATTCCCGAAAATAAAGTATTAAAAAATACCTTATATTTTATATCTTTTGAGCAATTAAATGAATCTACCACTAACACTATCATCCCCATTCATGACTCTCTCCTCCTTTCAAAGGTACATCAATCAATAATCCACACACGTTAAATGCACAATACTTAAGATTCTTTAATTCACTGTGGCTGCACTTCAAGTAGCTTGTGATTAATAGTTCTTAATGTCCAATGCCTCTACAAATGAAAATCCACTTTCCACCAGTCAGCAATAATCCTTTCCCTAAAAAAAAACTGTACTTTCACATGTTCCCCATCTATCAAGAGCAATTAAGAACAAAGCATTTATCCCTGTTTAAACTGTCATAAGATCATAGTTCTCTTTATCCCTAGAGAATAGATCATTGCATAAACAAAGTTTTTTTTCTCTGCTATGATATTACAGATTAGATGTTAAAGAGCCCCATGTTCCAGAGGCTTCCTGCTCAGAAAAACCATGGGCATCCCAACCCAGCCTTTTTTTTTCACTTTCTCTTCTTCCTTAACACATTCATTCAATAAAATTATGTCCCACACAGTTTACTATGTACCAAGCATTGGGCAAGTCAGTGTCTGAGGCAACACAAGGAGACACCAATAAAAATGAGTAGTACCTGACTTCAAAAAAGACTTACAATTTAGTGAGGAGACACATGTAAAAAGATAATTATAATACAAGTGGTAATTAAAATGGGGGAAAGATTTTTTTTAATTGAAGTATAGCTGATTTACAATGTTGTGTTAATTACTGCTGTACAACAAAGTGATTAAGTTATACATATATATACATATACATACATTCTTTTTTCAAATATTCCTTTCCATTATGGCTTATCATAGGATATTAAATATAATTCTCTGTGCTATACAGTAGGACCTGGTTGTTTATCCATTCTATATATAAAAGCTTACATCTGCTAATCCCAACCTCCCACTCCATCCCTCCCCCAACCCCCTTGGCAACCTCTATGTCCATGATTCCATTTCTGTTTCATAGATAGGTTCATTTGTGTCATATTTCAGATTTCACATATAAGTGATATCATATGATATTTACAGACATGATTTTTTTTTTTTTTCGGTATGTGGGCCTCTCACTGTTGTGGCCTCTCCTGTTGCGGAGCACAGGCTCCGGACGCACAGGCTCAGCAGCCATGGCTCACCGGCCCAGCCACTCTGCGGCATGTGGGATCCTCCCCGACCGGGTCACGAACCTGTGTCCCCTGCATCGGCAGGCGGACTCTCAACCACTGCGCCACCAGGGACGCCCCAAGACATGATTCTTGAACTGCTTCCTGAAAGGACTAGAGCTTGCCAGGCAGATATACCAAGGAAAGGCATTTCAGGCCCAAGAAACAGCAAGTGTAAAGGCACACAGACACTGGAAAATATGGTTCTATTCCTCTCTGAAGAACAACACTATGAGGCAGAAAAAGGAAGTACAGACTAAATCATAAATGGCCTCATAGGCCACTCTAAATTACATTTCATTCTGAAGGAAAAGGGTGCCAGGGAAGAATTATGAGCTGAGGTATGATATATTAGAAGAGGGTAAACTGCAGACAGAGGAATAATGCACACTGCCTAATGAGCCAGTCAAGACACGATCAATACCTAATAAAGGAAGTGCGAATGGGGAAGAAGAGGAAGCAGAAACCCTCAGGGCTTGGTGACTAAGTTGTGCTAGTAAAGGAATACACTAGGGAGAATGGTTTTCAGTTTTTAGTTTATAACTATTTACACCAAGGCAGGGAGCACAAAAGCACAAACTGTGAATGAAGAGGGAGGTAGGATGAGGATGATAAGCTCTATTTTGAACACAGTATGTTTCAGGTGTCTGTGGTATAACCAGGTAAACATGTATACACCAATCAGCTGTATACACCAATCAGCTGAGAAATGGGTCTGAAATTTTTAAAAAGAGGAGTCTGCAGTGAAAATAGAAATTTGAAAGTTAACATGAGAATAATTTTTTAAATCATGGACAGAGATGAAACTATCTAGGTAGAATACTTAGGGTGAAGAGAGAAGAGAACCACAAACAAAACCTTGGTGCTAAAACATTGGCAGGAGAAGAACCTTGGAAAGAGAATGACAACAAAAGGGCCTGAGAGGAAAGGGAAGAAATTTTTACAAGGTTCAAGAAGTAGAGAGATAAAAGACTAGTTCCGACAGGGAAAAAAAATGGATTGAGAATTCATGAAGTGAGCCTTCCTTCCTTCCTTCTGTCTTTCTGTCTCTCTCTCTTTCCCTCCCTCTCTCCCTTCCTTCCTTCCTTCCTCTCTCTCACTTTGCTTCATCTGGGTAGCCAGAAATTATTTTGCTCTGAGAAGTGAGAATAAACTAGAGAAAGTGAAAAGAGAAGAAAGAGAAGTACTGAAGGCCCATTCTATTCTCCTGAGAAACTATTTAATGGCCTACATTATGTCAATGCTTATGCAGGGTCTGAATGAGTGTTGTAAGGTCAGACCCAATGACCCCATTGATTTTCTGGCAGAGTATCTTTTCCAAGAACAATCCTGAAATGCAGTGAAACTTTAAAGATCTCGTGTCATATACTTTTACAGAGCTGGAGATGAGTTTAACATTGTAATTTGGAAAATTGCTTCAAAAATGCTTTTCTAGTTTTGGGGAAATTTTTTTCTTCCTGCAAACAAATATTTTATTAAGTAGAACCATTAAAAAAACTTCTATGGAAAAAAAACCAAAAAGAATTCACAAAGTGAAAATGTTCTATAACATTCTCCAATTTTTCCTTTTTTTTTTTTTGGCCACGCTGTGTGGCTTGCAGGATCTTAGTTCCCCAACCAGGAATTGAACCTGGGCCCACGGCAGTGGACTGCCAGGGAATTCCCAATTTTTCCTTTTTTTAAAAAAGAAAAACTTAATTGTTCATACCTGGTAAGGATAGGTACCATGTCCTGCCCACTGCCATGTTCCTTTTCCCACTGCTCCAGCAGGGTAGTGAGCTCAGCTTTGGAGTCCACATGTACCGCTACTGTAGTCATGACTTGGCCTAAGGAAGCAAAAAAAAAAAAGAAAAACACACACACACAAATGAACACAGGCAAATAAACTTGACATACTTCCTATGAAAAGAAAAGTGAGGAGGGAGGAAAAAAGGGATGCACAAGCAAGGGAAATAACTAAAAGCATGGGAAATTTAACCATTGGACCCTGTAGATAATTTTATTTGTGGTACAGTGGGAAACCCAGGATTGGGAGCCTGGATACTCATCAAGTCATGACAAGTCTTTTCTTCTCTCTCAACCTCAGTTTGCTAGACTGTCAAATGAGACAGGGTACTGGATCAAAATCATGATTCTTAACCTTTCTAGGATCAGGAATTCCTGAGAATCAGACAAAACCTATGGTTCCTTTCTCCCCTCAGAAACACACATACAGGTATCCCTGCTTTTCAGAGAAGTTCGCTTTATGCCATTTCGTTTTTATGAAAGAACTACATTAGTATCTGGTTTCGTTAACGCAAAGAAATCTGAAGAGGACTTCTGCTTTTACGAAAAAAGGCGAAAAGCAAAAACAGCGTTGTGTTTGCTTTGCAGCGCCATTATAAATGCAGTGTGCACCCCAAGCAGTGAGAGTGGCCCCGCCAAGCTCCTTCCATGGGAACTACACTCAACAGCAAGCTGCTACAGCTTTGAATTGTGCCTGTGAGCATCTGTGCTTTATCTCAATTTCTGTACATCCGTTGAGCAAGATGTGCCGTAAGGTAATTGCCTCTTCAAGTCATTTCAGTTTACGAAAGGTTTCACAGGAACACTCTACAATCTGTACCCATACACCACATGTATAATAATCCCAAGTCTAGATCTCTGAGGTACAAAGCTTTGAGGCTTTTTTTTTTTAAATACAGAATACAGCAAAAACTACTCCCAGAAATATTTTGCTCTTGTAAGTCTTCAGGGAAAGTTCTATGACAGATAAGCAACACATTCCTGTTGATTCTTAACAACAGATCAAGAACTGAAGTGGATATCATTACCAACATGAAAGCTGAGAAAGAATATTATAAACCCATTCGTCCTTCAGCCTTCCTAATCTGTCTCACAGCTAGCTGATCTTCTGGAAGGATAAGAGGCTGGAGAAAGGCATAAAAAGTTGCTGGGTTGAGTGATCAGCCCAGGGGTACAAAAGGACAGGGACGTGAGACAGGCTCTGAAGGAGCCGCATGTGACATCCACACGGGGAAGAGAGGTTTATAAGGAACTCCAAAAGGAATAAATGAGACCCAAACGTTTAGATGGTTTACAGATCAACTTCTTTGCCAAAGCAGTCTTAGGATCAAAATGTCAAATCCTGCCATGCAAAATGTGTATTTTCACAGAAATAGCAACTGTTCTGTAAAAAGTTTCAGTCCACAAAGGCATTACTAGCTCATCTAGGATTATTGTTCACTCTTCTACCATAAGACCAAAAGATATATATTTACCACCAACTCTCAAAATTTTAAACGTTTATGTTTTAATCAAGTTGATGCAATTCTAATAGAAGAGTGATTCATGTCACCTGAGCTACCCCTTACTCCAAAGGATATTTCCAAAAAAGAAAAGAAAAAAAAGTTAAAATGCTTTTCTACAAAGAATCCACATTTTCAGTCTTTCTAGCCAAAGATATACTACAGATGTGACCAACTAATATGGATTTCTGACCTTAACTTGAAAGACCTAGGCTGTATTTCTGACTGCAATCTACTAACTAAATATGCATTTTTTAAAATAAATTTAATACGAATAATTATAGATTTGTAAAAAAAAAAAAAGTTGCAAAGATAGTAGGGAGAATTCCCATATACCCCTAACTCAGTTCAGGTTTCCCTAATGTTATCTTATTTTATAGTGATATGGTGTCAAAATTAAGAAACCAAAAACTGGTACATTATCTTAACTAAACTCCAGACTTGATTCAGATTTCACCAGTTTTTCCATTCATGTCCTTTTTCTGTTCCAATATCTCATCCAGGATACTACATGACATTTAGTTGTCATGTCTCCCTAGTGTCCTCTGGTCTCTGACAGTTTTTGAGTCTTTCCTCATTTTTATGACCTTGCCAATCTGGAGGAGTATTAGCCAGGGGGTAGAGAGGGGCAATAATTTAACCAATTTTTTTCAACAGTAAAATTTTATGCTAAGGTAAGAGACCTAGAGACTGGGCAAAGTAGTTATATGTGGTAACAACAAAATTAATCTCTAAAGACACATCCTAAAAGTGCAGGAAAGAGATGGCTTTACTGGTGCATTCTACCAAACATTTAAAGAAGAATTAAGATCAATCCTCAAATTCTTCCAAAAATTGAAGAGGAGGGACACTTCCTAATTTTTTACATAAAGCCAGCATTGCCCTGACACCAAATACAGATTAAAACATCACAAGAAAACTATAGACCAACATCTTTTATGAAAATAGATGCAAAACTCCTTAACAAAATACTAGAAAGATGAATGCAGCAGCATATTAAGAGGATTAGATATCATGACCAAGTGGGATTTAACCCAGGAATACAAGGGTGGTTTGACATATGAGAATCAATTAAAGTGGGCTTCCCTGGTGGCGCAGTGGTTGGGAGTCTGCCTGCCGATGCAGGGGACACCAGTTCGTGCCCCGGTCCGAGAGGATCCCACATGCTGCGGAGCGGCTAGGCCCATGAGCCATGGCCGCTGAGCCTGCACGTCCGGAGCCTGTGCTCCACAATGGGAGAGACCACAACAGTGAGAGGCCCGCATACCGCAAAAAAAAAAAAAAAAAAAAAAAAACCCAACAGCTAACATTATACACAATAGTGAAAGACCGAAAGCTTTCCCCCTAAAATCACAAATAAGACAAAGATGCCTGCTTTCACCACTTAAACACTGTACTGGAGTTCTAGCCAGAGCAATTGGACAAGAAAAATAAAAGCCATCCAAGTTGGAAAGGAAGAAGTAAAATTATCTTTATTCACAGATGACATGACCCTATATATAGTAAATCCTAAAGAATCTATAAATAAAAACTATAGTTAATAAACAAGTTAGCAAAGTTACAGGATATAAGATTAACACACAAAAATTAGTTGTATTGCTATGTACGAGCAATAAACAATCCAATATGAAATTAAGAAAACAATTTCACTTAAAATAGCACTAAAAAGAACAAAATGCTAAGGAATCAATTTAAGCCAAAAAGGCACAAGACTTCCACAAGGAAAACTACAAAACATTGCTAGAATAACTTAGAGAAGACCTAAATAAATGGAAAGACAGCCTGTGTTCATGGATTAGAAGACTTAATATTGTTAAGAAGGCAATACTCTCCAAAGTGGTCAACCGTCAGTACAATCCCTACCAAAATCCCAATGACCTTTCTTGCATTAGTGCAAACATCAATCCTAAATTTATATGTAATTGCAAGGGATCCTGAATAACCAAAGCAATCTTGAAAAAGAAGAAAGTTAGAGAATTCACACTTCCGACTTCAAAACTACAAAGTTTGATCATCAAAATAGTATGGTACTGTCATAAGGAAAGACATACATACCAATGCAATAGAATTGAGAGTCCAGAAATAAAATCTCACATTTATGGTCAATTGATATTCAACAAGTGGGCCAAAACCAGTCAACAGGGAAAGAATTTGTTGAAACACCATTAGACCATTACTAGAAAGACCAATGTTCTTTCAACAAATTGTGCTGAGACAACTGGATATCCACATACAAAGGAATGAAGTCGGACCCTTGCCTCACACCATGTACAAAAACTACCTCAAAATGAATCAAAGACTTAAATATAAGAGCTTAAACTATAAAACTCTTAGAGGTAAATCTTCATGACTTTGAAATTGGCAAGGGATTTTCATTTGACATCAAAAGTATAAGCAACAAGGGAATAGATAAATTGGACCTCAACATTTAAAACTTTTGTGTGTCAAAGTACATTATCAAGAAAGTGAAAAGACAACCCACAGAATGGAAGAAAATCTTTGCAAATCATATATCTGATAAGGATCTAGTATCCATAATATATAAAGAACTCCTACAACTCAACAATGACAAAAAAAACCTGATTCAAAAATGGGCAAAGGACTTGAACAGATATTTCTCCAAAGAAGATATACAAATGGCCAACAAGTACATGAAAAGATGTTCAACATCATTAGCCATTAGGGAAATGAAAAACAAAACCACAATGAGATACCAATCATACAACTAGGATGACCAAATGCAAAAAATTAGAAAATAAGCACTGGCAAGGGTGTGGAGAAACTAGAATGTACACTTCTGATAGGAATGTAAAATGGTATAGCAGCTACAGAAAACAGTTTGGTGGCTCCTCAAAAAGTTTAAAAAAAAAAGTTAAACACAGAATTACCATATGACCCAGCAGTTCCACTCCAAGTTACATACCCCAAAAAATTGAAAACAGATATTCAAACACTTGTACACAAATGTTCAAAGCATATTCACAAGAGCCAAAAGGTGGAAACAACCCCAAATGTTCACCAACAGATAAATGGATAAACAAAATGTGGTTATATTCATACAATGCAGTATTATTCAGCCGTAGAAAGGAATGAAGTACTGAGTCATGTTACAGCTGTGGATGAACCTTTAAAACAATACACTAGGCAAAAAATGTCAGACACAAAAGGTCACATAGTCTATGATTTTATTTATATGAAACATTCAGAATAGGTAAATCCATATACAGAAAGCTACCTAGTGGTTGCCAGGGACTTGGGGGAGGGGGAAATAGGGAGTGACTACTTAATGAATGTAGGGTTTCCTTTTGGGGTAATGAAAATGTCTTGGAACTAAAAGAGGTAATGGTTGCACAACATTGTTAATCTACTAAATGCAACTGAATTGTGCACTTTAAAATGGTTAATCGTTAATTTATGGTATGTCAATTTTACCAAAAATTTTTTTTTAAATGGGGGGAAAAAAGGTCCAGGAGGGAATGCCTCTTGGATAACTTAAGCAATCAGCCTAGTAGGGCTTATAAAGGCAAAGTTTAAAAAGAAATACTACCTCTAACAAAGGTCAACTCAAGGGCATTAAAATAGTAAAATTTTAGGGCTTCCCTGATGGCGCAGTGGTTGAGAGTCCACCTGCCGATGCAGGGGACACGGGTTCGTGCCCCGGTCCGGGAAGATCCCACATGCCGCGGAGCGGCTAGGCCCGTGAGCCATGGCCACTGGGCCTGCGCGACCAGAGCCTGTGCTCCGCAACGGGAGAGGCCACAACAGTGAGAGGCCCGCGTACCAAAAAAACAAAAAGTAAAATTTTAGAGTTCAATTTAGAAACACACATGTACTTCTGGTATCATTTTCAAAATTTCCAATTAACTATGCCTAAAAATAATTATAACTTTGGGAATATTCACTTGCCCAGGGAAAATATAAATTTAAAATAAGCTAAAATAATAGTATCAATGATAATTCATTTTACTCTCAATGAAAGATTAACAAAATGCAAAACGTGCAGTAATCTTGTTATAGACAAGACAGTGAAGGTACATTACTCAATTCACCATGTTCCAAAGTGAGTTCTTCAGGTGGTATGCAGAATTTATGGCCTGTCTAATAGTGATACAATAGTTACCAATTACTGAATATCTGTATGAGATAGACATTTGGTTTAAGTAATTTATTTACATTATTCTGAATTTTCACAACCACCCTGCCCTTATTTTACAGATGAGGAAAAGGGCTCAGAGAAGTCCCCAAGACCACTCAATTGGTACTTGGTAGAAAAGGGGTTCAAGCATTCAAATTCCAACTCTGTCAACATACCTGTGAGATCTTGGTCAAGTTATTTAACTTCTCCAAATCTCAATTTCCTTATCTGTAAAATGGAAATAGTTGTTGCGAGGGTTAAATGATAACACTGTCCATACAATGGAATAATATAAAGCCCTACAAAAAATATGTAGAGGGAATTCCCCGATGGTCCAGTGGTTAGGACTTGGCGCTCTCACTGCTGGGGCCCCGGGTTTGATCCCTGGTAGGGGAGCTAAGATCCCGCAAGCCACGCACTGCGGTCAAAAAAAGTCTTTATCCTGAAGGATGCCTGCCAAAGTATTTAGGGGTGCTGTGTCTGCAACTTATTTTCAAATGGTTCCACAAAATAAATATATACCACATCTACCTACTAAGAGAAAGCATGGCAAAATATTAATAACAAGTGTTGAATCTAGATGGATAAGTATTCATTTTCCATTCAATTTCATTTTACACGCAGAATTTATGGTCTAATAGTGATACAATAGTTACCAATTACTGAATAGACATGAGATAGACATGTATGAGATAGACACCTGGTTAAGTAATTTATTTACATTATTCTGAATTTTCATCACCTGGGCTTCCCTGGTGGCACAGTGGTTAAGAATCCGCCTGCCAATGCAGGGGACCCAGGTTCAAGCCCTGGTCCGGGAAGATTCCACATGCCGCGGAGCAACTAAGCCCATGCACCACAACTACTAAGCCCGAGTGCCACAACTACTGAACCCCGTGCACCTAGAGCCCATGCTCCGCAACAAGAGAAGCCACTGCAATGAGAAGCCCACGCACCGCAACAAAGAGTAGCGCCCCCTTGCTGCAACTAGAGAAAGCCCACGCGCAGCAACAAAGACCCAACCCAGCCAAAACTAAATAAAGTAGGAGAAAACTAAAAAGAATTTCCTTTCCTAATTTGGACCAACTCTCAGTACACTGTCAAGTGAGAAAAGCAAAGAACACTCTTTGCTTTTGCGTGTGTGTGTGTGTGTGTGTGTCTGTGTGTGTCCCTGGAAGAATATATAAGAAACGGATAATAACTATTACTTCTGTGGCAAGTAACTGATCTTCTGAAGGATAAAGGTAAAAGATTTTTTTCACTATATGTTACTATCCTAGCTCTACCATTTTCCACTATTTTGTTACCTTTTGTAACTTCTGAGTTAATCCATAAAGGCTGTTCTCTTCTAATACACAATACTATATGGCCTATTTGGCAAAAACTATCCCAAAGCCTAAAAAAAAAGTTCACGCGGGGCTTCCCTGGTGGCGCAGTGGTTGAGAGTCCGCCTGCCGATGCAAGGGACACGGGTTCGTGCCCCGGTCCGCGAAGATCCCACATGCCGCGGAGCGGCTGGGCCCGTGAGCTATGGTCGCTGAGCCTGCGCGTCCGGAGCCTGTGCTCCGCAACGGGAGAGGCCACAACAGTGAGAGGCCCGTGTACCGCAAAAAA